TTTTGATGCTTCCTTACTTTGCTGCCAACTTGATTTAAATGGCCATGTAAAGCTCAAGCCGCTCGTCGACAAACTGTGGCAGGGCCCACGACTACAAAGGACCGCTGTCGACGTCAGTTTGTGTTTGTTTGCAGCATGTCCTGCACTGCAGCAGTCTTATTGCCTTGCGCTGCACCGCAAGACTCCAACCGGTTCCGTGGAAGGCTACTCGGCTCCCAGGTTCCCAGGCTTCTGTACTCGCGCTCAATGGCAAAAGTGCCGGATTTGCCCACCGACCCAACCGTTCTGAGCTCAGCATTTTCGGCGCAGTATGACGTGTGTGATGATGATGTGTGGCACGCCATGTGAAGCAGGCCAGTGCTCAAGAAGCCCTGGCAAACATCGTGCCATGGGCCCTTCGCTGAGTTCTTGATACCGTGTACCGTCTCGCGGCTAACAGTGCTGCATGCCGTGCCTGCCCGAGGTCCGCAGCCAGCTCCCTCTGAAGTTTCCGCAGGCCAAGCAGATGTTCAAGACACCGCCGCTTGCCATCAACGCAGAAGCCAAGATGGTGGATTTGACCGGATACAAGGCGGGCGCATGTCGATCAATGTCATTTATTGTTTGACCGTTGTCGTTTGTCAGGCTGTGTGGAGCAAAGATGACTGCCAAGCGTCCCTGACATCATCTGGACGTTACGAAGCCAGTGGCCTCGCGCTGTGGCTGGCCACCGAAGCTTTTGCCAGTGCGTCTGAGGATGTGTGCTGGCAGGATCTCCAAACTTTCGAAGACGCTTTCTTCTCCAAGAAAGTTGCTTTCAGCACAGTTGTATCGCGTGAAGCTGCAAAAAAAAAAAAAAAAACGTCACGAAACCGGCTGACGTGGCCTTGTGAGATGATTGTCCTCACGGAGTCAGCATCTGACGTGATTCACGAAGAGTTCAACAGCTCGTTGCATCTTGCTAGCGGCGTGTTTGTGTTGTGGGCTTGGTACTTGGCCGTCTTCAAAGCCCTAGTCTCCCAGGACAGTTGCTGCTTGTGTTCACATGACATGACATGTTATTGATTCATCTGACTGATGTGTGCTTGCACTTGGCAGGACAAAGCAGTTTTGGAGATTTTGTGGGAGTGTGGCTGCACTGTCACGATACAGGTTCGCTTGTGTTCCAGCGCAGGGGAGATTGCGAAGAGTCGCAATCTTGCTTCAGAGAAAGTCAAGGCACTCGGGCACCCTGGCCTGTCCGACACCTTTTGGACATTTGCAAAGACTGTCCAGCTGCTCAAGGTCGAAAAAGTCCAGGATGGTGAGGAACAGAACTTGAGGTACAACAACACCTTGTACAACAAGGCCTTACACCAGGCTGCCACAGCAGCTGTTGCAGTGCTGCGGGGTCCATCCGGTCCCGTGGAGAAGGCTGCCCGGAGATTGGAGCTGGAATTTGGGCGGGGCATCTTGAGCAGTCAGTACTCGAAGTTGAGCAGGCTGTTATCGCTGACCAACAAGCTCGCATCTGCTACCAGAAACGCTGTAGACCTGACGGCCTGGATGATCGACTCCTTGACGCTGGCCCTGCACATGAACATGGTCACGCCAGCTAAATGCACCGAGAAGTTTCTGGATCGAGACCGGAAGACAGGCGATGCTGGCTTTTGGTTGTCGCGCATGCTGGTGGTGCAGGCATTGTGGCTATACTATTCTGACTAGCGTGTGTATTTTTTTTTTTGCGGAGTGTTGCAAGTCATCGGCAGCTTGAACACTGACAGAGGTCTTCGATTATGCAGCAAAGCTGGCGAACAAGTTGCCTGAGCCGGACAAGGTTAAGCTGACAGGGATTTTGGCTGAACTCCGTTGCCCTTCCACATGTTGGGAGAAATATCTCTGCCATGCTGATGCTGATCAAGGGGCTGCTGGAGAGGACGACATGGACGGCGAGGACCCAGAGGACGTGGAGCGCCCTGTTCCGCAGTCCAAGATTGGAGCTGTTAAAGAGGGTTTCAACAAAGCCATTGGCATGCTTTTGGATTTGCTGCTGGAGCTGATGTCGGGGAAGTACTACAAGGATTGCTGCATGCTGGCTTCGAGTGAAGATGGCCTTGCAAAGGCATTGACAGCTGCACAGCTTGGAAGCTCGGATGACACGGAGCACGAGGAGCCATGTGCGCTTATCACTCAGATGAAGATCATTGTCGACAAGTTCGACAACAGCACGAAGTCCGTTGGTGCCACATCTGCGGCTCCTGCTCCGAGTTTGCTCCAAAGCCTGGCCAAGGCTTCTGAAGCTGACACACCCGAGGAATGTGTCGAGCGTGAGCGGCAGTGGAAGGCGGTGCAAACGGAACGCCGCAAGTTCGTGTCGTTCTCGGTACCGAACAAGATCTCGAAGGACTGCCTAGTCAATGCGTTCAGAGGTTGCGGCAAGGTCTTCACGCACAAGGGCACCTTAAACTCTTCGCACCGCCTGATCGTTGCCAGTGCGGATCTCTTGGCAGAGGCTGGTAACGACCCGTGGCTCAAGGGCACTCCGCCAAGCGAGGAATGGAAAGAGATCTGTGCCTTTGCCAAAGACATTTCTGGGCCCGAGGATTTCGTCGTACTCTTCGACGGCAGAATGCGGGAAATTCGCCGCGTGTCCGAGTCTTGGCGGGGTGATGTGACAAGGCTCCCAGGCTCCAAGGCTCAAAGGCTGCACCTGGTTCTTTAAGGAAGACCTCCTGCTGAACCAGCAGCACACCGAGGAGTGCACCATCGTGTACTCAGGTGGGTGCCCGCCGAGAACTGGTCGCACTCGCCGCGTTCCGCTGGCTGCAAAGAAGGTGGAGACAGGAGCGGTTAAGTTTCCGGTCGCACGCACCAAGATTCAGACGACGAAGAAAGGCTCCTTCACAGTCTGCGGCGAGGCTTCTACGTACCAAGGCACTTACTCAGGCGTGGAGTACCGTGCGGTTTCTGAAATGCCCCTCGTGTCTGCAGACACCAAGAAGAAGATCATTGCTCCGGCAACAACCGGCGACCTCCCGACACCGCCAGAGGACTGGCAGGATCGCCACGGCTCCGACGTACCCTTGTTCTGGAACGAGTCGAAGCCGATAGCATATTGGAATGCCATCATTGAGGAGTTTTGCGCGGAGGCAGTGTTTGACCTCACGGCTGGCACCGGTGCTCTGATGGAGGCTTCTTTGACTGCCGGCATCGCATACCACGGGCTTTGCAGCACCCTTACTTGTCCAGTAGATTCGTCAGATCATTGTCATTTGATTTTATTTAAATTATCCGAGGCCTCAACAAGGAGCACATGTCGTGGGTCCAGGCGGTTGCTGATCGCGCAGCTTGCGGAATGATGGCTTTGGAGGGATCCACTCTTTACTCGGACGAGAATGCCAAGGCGGTGAAGAAGCATTTCCCGCACGTTCTGGAGAGCTTGTCCAACCAAGACGACCAGGACGAGGCACCTGCTGAGCCAGATAGCCCCCGCGATCAACCGCAGTGATGATGTTTCACTTCGACCGAATCCGCCAGCTCAGGCACCAGCTCAGGCACCTAGGCTCCCAGGTTCTCAGGCTCTTGACCTTTTGCCGGGCTCAGTTTTGTCAGTAGTGTGTAGCAGTGACTACTGTCGCCTGAAAAAGCCGAAATGCTCTTATTGTGGCATGACATTGAAATAGGACTCGCCGAGGATGTTGTTGTAGTCGCCTGAATGCATTAAAGCGAGCCGTTATGGCCCCAGGTTCCCAGGCTCTGAGGTTCCCTGCTTGGGTTCGACATGGGCTGCCGATGGAGGCCTACCAGACGCCTCTGGGGCAAAACCAGTCTCAAGACGGCTTCTCGTCGGTGGCCCCGGGGGTGCCAGCATGGTGGCAGCAAATCGCAGAGCTTGCGGAAGCAGGCTGTGAAAGACGGCTTGGTCCCCAAGGCTCGAAGGGCCTTCGTCATCTGGTTCCAGGAAAACTCCGAAGTCAAGAAAGGCGCTCCCAAGCACGAGTTTCTCAATGAGATGAAGCATCTTGGCGCAGTCTGGCAGGGCATGACCGACAAGCAGAAGGCACCATTCATGGCGAGGAGCAAAGATGAGTTCATGGCTCAGCGAAGTGCACTGGCCGTTCTTGGCATCAGGATGCGGGGCTCCACGACCAGTGCGGGCGGCCCCGACGAGGCGAAGGACCCCCCTGCCGCTGACGAATCTGGCGGTCGCGTTGGCCCATTTGAGCTTAATGGTGCAAGGGCTCCAATTGGAGGCGGAGCCTATGGCAGTGTCTACAGTTGCCAGCATCCGCAAAGCGGCCTTAACGTGGCGGTGAAGGTTTATCGTGGCTCCGATGGCCCCGCGGATTGCAGGCACGAAGTGGAGCAGATGAAGCTTCTAATGAAGGCCGTTCCGCAGCAGAAGATGATGTGGTTCCCGCTTCTTGTCAGCTCGGGTGTCACGGGCAGACCTTGGCCATGGATGGCTACTAGCCTATGTGGGCCCAGCCTGGCAACCGCACTTCGAAATCCTGCGGCGCATGGCAAGCCGAGGACGTGGTCTGTGGCAGCTCAGCTGAGAAGTGCACTGCAGACCTTGCATGACGCAGGCATCCTACACTTGGATGTGAAACCTGGCAATGTTCTTTGGTGCCCTTGCACAGATCAGGTGCAGGTGTGCGACTTCGGCATGAGTGAGAACATGGCACGGCTCCAGAAGGCTTCTCAGGCTCCCAGGTTCCTGCAGTATGTCACGGCTGCCTATCGACCTCCGGAGCTGTGGCCCGCTCGTGTGAATGGCGATGGAGACTGCGGTGTCAGAAAGCAGCTGCTGACTGCAGCTGTGGATATGTGGGCCTATGCTTGCGTGGTGTTTGAGGTGGAGACCGGGAATCCCTTCATGCCCAAGGGGGAGGCCGGACTGAGAGCGTGGTGCAAGCAGTGGCCCGAGCTGTGGAAAACACGCAGCGACTTAGCCAATTGCCCCGCTGCAAGTCACACGTGCTGCACAAAGGTGCTTCGAGCCGGTAAATGGGGGCTGTTTGTGTTGGTCGGCTGTGCTCCAGACCCCGGAAAGCGGCGGTGGCCGGAGCTCTGTCTGAATCAGAAATGACTCGACTGAGCCTCCATTTTTATTTGATGATGGCTCGTATGGTTTAACGTGTGTTTAGAGTCGGTTAAAGGGTTTCAGGGTTAGTAGGGTGTGACTTTCATAGCCTTCGTGTGTTCAGTTAGCAGCATATCCGAGCATGGGGGCAAGATTGCATGCAATGTGAGATGCAGTGAGTTTCCTCGTTGTAACCGATTCCGCACAGTGCCGTGCGTTGCATCTTGCCGAAGTGGTGAAGTGCGTCGTGACAAGCTGTTTGCAGGGCGTGTCGCGGCTACCAGGTTCCCAGGCTCCAAGGTCTGGCGCAAGACTGGCTGGGATCCCTAATTCAATTATTTTAATTCTCAGCGCGGGGGTTGTCCGAAAAAGCAGAGGCCAGTGTCGTGAGTCATGTGAACGCACCCAAATTCCACATGTAACCTGGTTCACATGTCGTTCTTTGCAGGCAGGGAGATGGGCAAGCGTGGTCCACGGCCGCAGCGCCAAGGAAGCTGTCAGGACCCGTGCTGCGTTGGACAGTCAAGTTTAATTAATTTGACAGCGGATCTTGGCTGTCGCCAGGATGATTCGATGCTGCGAGGGACCGCATCGACATCGACCCATCGTCGTCAAGGCCACAAGGTTTAGTTTCAAAGCACCCTGCCCTCATGTACGTTTGTGTTCTACTGCTTCTGGCCTTGAATCTGCCTCGCTGCAGACAGCTCGGTACGACCAGGCATGCTGAGTGAAGAACCTGACTAGAATGAGACCCTCTTTCAGCGAAAGAGAGTCAAGATGCAGGCTCCAAGGCTCCAAGGCTGTGAAATGAAAAGGGGGACCCTGCCTCTGGCTCCCGGCCAAGCCTAACTGTGGTCGAAATGTTTTTTCTTCAACGGGGGACCCTCCGTGGCCTCTGGCTCCGGGCCAAGCCTAACTGTGGTCAAAATGAAAGGGGGACCCTCCTTGGCCTCTGGCTCCGTGCCAAGCCTAACTGTGGTCAAAATGAAAGGGGGACCTTCCTTGGCCTCTGGCTCCGGGCCAAGCCTAACTGTGGTCAAAATGAAAGGGGGACCCTCCTTGCCTCTGGCTCCGGGCCAAGCCTAACTGTGGTCAAAATGAAGGGGGCCAAGCAAGGCTCCAAGGCTCGCAGGCAAGGCTCCAAGCTGGCTTTGCGCCAAAAGGCTCCAAGGCTCCAGAAAGTGGGACCCTGCTTGCCTTTGGCTCTAAAGCAAGCAAGGCTCCAAGAAATGAAAAGGGGGACCCTCCTTGGCCTCTGGCTCCGGGCCAAGCCTAACTGTGGTCAACATGACGAAAGGGTGCCAAGCAAGGCTCCAAGGCTCGCAAGGCAAGGCTCCAAGCTGGCTTTGCGCCAAAAAGCTCCAAGGCTCCAGAAAGTGGGACCCTGCTTGCCTTTGGCTACCGGTCCAAATGTAAAGCAAGGCTCCCAGGCTCCAAGGCTCCAAGAAATGAAAAGGGGGACCCTCCTTGGCCTCTGGCTCCGGGCCAAGCCTAACTGTGGTCAAAATGAAGGGGGCCAAGCAAGGCTCCAAGGCTCGCAAGGCAAGGCTCCAAGCTGGCTTTGCGCCAAAAGGCTCCAAGGCTCCAGAAAGTGGGACCCTGCTTGCCTTTGGCTCCCGGTCCAAATGTAGAAATGAAAAGGGGGACCCTCCTTGGCCTCTGGCTCCGGGCCAAGCCTAACTGTGGTCGAAATGTAAGGCAATGCTCCAAGGCTCCAAGGCTACCGAAATGAAAAGGGGACCCTTCTTGGCGTTTGCGGAGCCCCAAGCCGCCTAGCTGTGGTCGAAATGTAAAGCAAGGCTCCAAGCTCCCTACCTGAAGATGGTGACCCTCCTTGACCTCTGGCTCCGGGCCAAGCCTGACTGTGGTCGAAATGTGAAGCAAGGCTCCCAAGCTCCAAGGCTCCAACCTCCTTGGCCTCTGGCTCCGGGCCAAGCCTAACTGTGGTTGAAATGCAAGGGTTCCGGGCTCCAGGGCTCCACGGCTGCCGGAATGAACAGGGAATGTTGCCTGGTTTGCGATGCAAGCTCTTCGTTGACAGGCTCCAAGGCTCCAAGGCTCTTCGGTACGAGCAGCCAGGCCCCCAGGTTCCGAGGCAATATGCCAATGCGTAGTCCATCCTTAAAGGCCTTCAGCCTAAAGCCCAAAGCACCAGGAGCGGGGCGAGAACCATCCTCGACGCCTGACAACGGCGCAGCTGGACGGCCAAGCCAAGACCAGGACCGAGTAGGGTTTAAGGTTTACGACTACTACTACTACTACTACTACTACTACTACTACTACTACTACTACTACTACTACTACTACTACTACTACTACTACTACTACTACTACTACTACTACTACTACTACTGACTACTAACTGTTACTAATTTATATTTTATTATTATTGTTATTATTATTATTATTATTATTATTATTATTATTATTATTATTATTATTATTATTATTTTTATTATTATTATTATTATAAATTATTATTATTAAAATTATTATTATTATTTATTATTATTATTGTTATTATTAATAGTATTATTAATATTATTATTATTATTATTTAATACTACTACTACTACTACTACTACTACTACTACTACTACTACTACTACTACTACTACTACTACTACTACTACTACTACTACTACTACTGCTATTGCTACTGCTACTGCTACTGCTACTGCTACTTCTACTGCTACTACTTTACTACTACTAATACTACTATACTACTACTACTACTACTACTACTACTACTACTACTACTACTACTACTACTACTACTACTATAACTACTACTACTATACTACTACTACTACTACTACTACTACTACTACTACTACTATACTACTACTACTACTACTACTACTACTACTACTACTACTACTACTACTACTACTACTACTACTGTGTTACTACTACTACTACTACTACTACTACTACTACTACTACTACTACTACTACTACTACTTACACTACTACTTACACTACTACTACCACTACTACTGCTAATACGAACTACTACTACTACTACTACTACTACTACTACTACTACTACTACTACTACTACTACTACTACTACTATACACTACTACTACTACTACTACTACTACTACTACTACTACTACTACTACTACTACTACTACTACTACTACTACTACTACTACTACTACTACTAGTACTACTACGACTACTACTACTACTACGACTACTACTACTACTACTACTACTACTACTACTACTACTACTACTACTACTTTAATTTAAATATTAATACTAACTACTACTACTACTACTACTACTACTACTACTACTACTACTACTACTACTACTACTACTACTACCACTTACTATTACTATCACTACTTGCGAACGGACTGCGATGCCTTGTCAGGTTCTAAGGTGTCACTATAAGAGCTGTGAGCAAGACCGTGTAAAGTGCAAGAGAAGGGGGCACGCTACGCGTCCCTCGACTCGAAGGGGGCACGCTACGCGTCCCTCATCTTTACCTTTCTATGTGACCGCCCACGCAACGTTTGGCTCAAGTCAATGCCCATAGCTAAGTGCTATATGTGTTTTCTATCCTGAGCAATCAGAGCTATCCCGTTGCACAGACGAACCGCCGCCGGCAGTGAGTGCAAAAGGAACGGCCGCCGGTTCTGCCTGCATAGGATTGCACGCGTGGAAGTGTAAGAGAGACAGGGTCCAGTCTGTGGAGAGTGCAAGCGAGCCACACCTACATTCATTACAGCTCTGGTGGGGAGAGCAGCAACCTAGTCGAGATCAATCCCCCACGCAGGTTATCAGCCGTGCGCGGCTCTGCCTTTCTACAGCAACGACTACTTGATCTACTACGACCACAATGAACTCGGGATCAAGCCAAGATACGACAATGACTTTCGGTGCCGATGTGGCAGCGCCAGCCGTTGGTGAGTCAACAGCTGATGACACAGTGGTTCAATCCGTTGATAGCTCCACGGAAGATGACAAAGGTCAATCTTCTGCGCTTGCCATTGCAAAGGCAGTTCCCAAGGTGAAAGCAAAGAGTCTACCAAGAGCATCTACGCCTTCGCGTCCGACATCCACAGGTTCGAGGACGGGCAAGGCTCCCGAACGACGAGCCGTAGCGTCTGGTTTTCAGGCACCTCGGACTACGTCCAGGGCCAAGGACAAAGGAGTGAAGACCTTGGAAAAGAAGTCAAGACCATCATCTTCGAGAAGCTCTTCAGCACGATCGAGGACTTCGGCTACTCGTGGGCGTGACAAATCCATGACTTTGAATCGGATGGTTACCAATCAACCACGTGATGCTGACGATCTGGATATGACTCTGGACACTATCCCAGCACGTGGTGATGCGTCATCGGTGACCACGCCAGCCATAGCCGATGGTCCGAATGCCTATCAGGAACTGACGATTTCGCAACAGCTCGAGGCATCTAACCTTGCGCAGCAGATGTACTATCGCAGTCAGATGCAAGAATACGAAGGAGTTGTCCAGACCCTGATGGACAAGATCAAGGAGATGCAACAAGAAGATGAAGGATCTGGAATTCGCATTGAAGAATTGGAACGACAACGTGACCATGCATTCTTAGCCATGAGGCACATCAACAATGTCAATCAGGAGATGAAGCGAGACTATGAAACAGCTTTGTTTCGCATGGATGAACAGAACTCTGCTCAACAACGTCAGGCACATGCCGTTGCCGAGGAGTTAGCTCAACAGCTACACGTGTTCCGCACGGAAGCAGCCACTAACTTTGTGCAGTTGGAGGCAAGAGCGCAAGGCGATGGTGAACTTATGGCACGTGAGTATGAGCGTCTAACTCATGAACTTCATGAACATGCCAGAGAGAACTTGGTCCTCCGGTCAAACACAGCAAGTTCGGAACAAGCCTTACCAGCAATGCAGGAACGATTCCACTTGGTCAAGAACCAGGAGTTGCGGGCCGTGAACGAGATCCAAGGGCTAGCTGGAAACAGCGCAGCCATTGATCAAGAACGATTTC